ACTTTTAATGGAACTACTGTGGCAGATTGGTTGCATTAATAAATCCAATTCTTCTCCACTTTCTGTATTCATGTCTGTGTAGTAAAAAATAAACCTTGCCCCAACATGTATATAAAAAGATGCTCAACATCATTATCATCAGAGAAATGCACATCAAAACTACAAGATATCAGTTCACCCCAGTTAAAACAGCTTTTATCCAAAAGACAGTCAATAATGAATGCTGGTGAAGATACGGAGAAAGAATTCTCATACACCATTGGTAGGAATGTAAATTAGTATAGCTGGATCACTTGAGCCTGGGAGGTTGAGGCCGCAGTGAGCCGTGATTGCGCCATTGCACTCCAGCCTGGGCGACACAGCGAAACCCTGTCTTTTTTTTTTTTTTCTGAGACAGAGTCTCACTCTGTTGCCCAGGCTGGAGTGCAGTGCAGTGGCACGATATCGGCTCACTGATACCTCTGCTTCCCGGGTCCCGGTTCAAGCAATTCTCCTTCCTCAGCCTCTCGAGTAGCTGGGGTTACAGGCACGCGCCACTATACCCAGCTAATTTTTGTATTTTTAGTAGTGATGGGATTTCTCCATATTGACCAGGATGGTCTTGAACTCCTGACCTCGTGATTCCATCTGCCTTGACTTCCCAAAGTGCTGGGATTACAGGCGTTAGCCACTGCGCCCGGCCAAGATCCTGTCTTAAAAAAAAAAATCCCATAAAAACCAAAATCCTGTTTCCATTAGCAGTTACTCCTCATTATCTTTGAACACTACCTCGTCCCCATCCCTAGGCACTTTTTATCTCATAGATTTGCCTATTCTGAATATTTCACGTAAGTGCAATCACAACCCTAGGTATATTTCATATAAATTGCCCCCATTCCTAGCCGATCACTAATGTGCTTTCTGTCTCTATATATTTGCCTATTATGAACATTTCATATGATTACAATATGTACTCTTTTGTGACTGGATTATTTCACTTAGCATAATGTTTTCAAGCTTTATCCATATTGTAGTATATATAATTCCTCTTTGTTGCCAGAAAAATGTCATTGTATGGTTGGATATGCCACCTTTTGCTTCTCCATTTATCAGTTGATAGTTATTTGGGTTGTTTGTACTTTTTTTGGTTATGGTGAATAATGCTGTCACCAAAATTAATTTACAAGTTTGTGTGGACGTTTGTTTTCAATTCTCTTGGGAATATAAACCCAGCAGTTAAATTGCTGGGTCATTTGGTAACTCTATATTTAACTTTACAAGGAACCACCAAACTGTTTTCAAAAGCAACAGCACCATTTACAGTCTTACCATCTGTGTATGAGGATTCCAGTTCCACCACATCCTCACCACTTCTTGTCATTATCTGCATTTTGATTGTAGCTATCCATTGGGTATAAAATGATATCTCATTATGATTTGATTTGCATTTCCCATGCAAATCTTTTCATGTGCTTATGGGTCATTTTTTATCTTCCTTGAAGATATATCTATTCAGATCCTTTGCTCATTTTTAAATTTGGTTGTTTATCCTTTTATTGCTGTGTTGTTTAAGTGTTCTTTAGATATTCTAGATACAAGTCTCTTATCAGATACATGTCTTGCAATAATTTTTTCCCAATTCTATGAGTTGTCTTCTATATTCTTCATGGTATTGTTTGTAGCACAAAAGTTCCTAAAATTTTGATAATGTCTTATTTTTCCCTTTGTTGCTGGTGCAAAAGAAGCCAAATGAGGTTTTAATAGGAATTGCATTGAATCTGTAGATCAATTAGGGGAATATGCCATTTTAACCAAATTAGGCCTTCCTATTTATGAACATGGGATTTTTTCCATCATTCCAATATTTTCCAATATTTATATTCAATTTCCCTACCTCACACCCAGACAGAGATACAATCCATATCTAGAGTATGGGGGTCAAAAGCACAGATTATTTCTTAAGACAGATTTAGGTTAATATACCATCCCTTCTACTGATTAGCTGTGTAAATATGGACAAATTACTTATCTTTTAATTTTATTTTTAGATGGAGTTCTCGCCATCTTTATACCCAGGCTGCAGTCTAGTGGACAATCTTGGCTCACTGCCAACCTCCGCTCCTGGGTTCAAGATTCTCCTGTCTCACCTCGCGAGTAGCTGGGCACAATGAGCATGCACCACACACCCGGCTCATTTTGTATTTTTAGTAGAGATGGGGGTTTCACCATATAGGGCCAGGCTGGTCTCAAACTCCTGACCTTGTGATCTACCTGCCCTTGGCCTCCCAAAGTGCTGGATTACAGGCATGAGCTACTGCGCCTGGCCTACTTAATTTTTCTAAGGCGTATTTTCTCAATCTGGTAATGTGCAATTTTTTTTTTTTTTTTTTTTTTTTTTAGACAGGGTCTCTCTGTCACCAAACTGGACTGAGTGCAGCGGCATGATCTCGGGCTCACTCCTGGGGCTCAAGCAATCTTCCTATCTCAGTCCTCTGGGTAGCTGGACCACAGCGTGTCCACCATGCCGCTAATTTTTGTATTTTTTGTAGAGAGATGGGTTTTTGTCATGTTGCTCAGGCCTGGTTTCTTGAACTCCTGAACTCAAGCAATCTTCCCACCTCAGACCCCAAAGTGCTGAGATTACAGGCGTGTGCCACCACACGCAGCCTAAAGTACAAATTTTAATGCAGATTTCATAGGATGTGAGGATTAATGACAAATGTGGGACACTTAGCATAGTGCCTGGAACACAGCAAATGCTCAGTCTGAGCTATTTTTATTATATAGCACTTACAATTACTAACAAAAATAGTTTATTTTGACTTTTAAAATTATTAGAGCCCAATTTCCCCTTAAGTGTGTTTCTCCATCTCCTTAGAATCCATTGACTTTATACTTGTTTCCCTACAATCTTCTTGTGTCTTCTTAAGGATAATGAACCAATCTGATTTATTATTTATTTATTTATTTTTTTTTGAAGACAACGTCTCGTTGTGTCACCCAGGCTGGAGTGCAGTGGCGCAATCCAGCTCACTGCAACCTCTGTCTCTTGGGTTCAAGCGATTCTTGTGCCTTAGCCTCCCAGGTAGCTGGGACTACAGGTATGCGACACCACACCTGGCTTAATTTTTGTATTTTTAGTAGGGTTTCTCCATGTTGGCCCAGGCCTGGTCTAAACTCCTGACCTCAAATGATGTGCCCGCCTCAGCCTCCCAAAGTGCTGGGATTACAGGCATACACCACCGTGCCCGGCCTAATCCGATCTCATCTTTGATCACCATGCTCTTTCCTAACCTTCCTAAAACGTGCAGGCACCTCCCACCCCAGCGCCTTTGCATATGCTCATTTTGCTCTGTCTACAAATCTCTTTCCATAGATATAAACTTGGTTTATTTATCACCTTCTTCAGGGTCTTTGTTTAAATATTATCTTAACAGTGAGGCTGGACCATCCCTATATATAAAACGCAAATAACCCCTCCTCTACTTACCTGCTTTATTTTCTTCTAAACTTATAGCCACATGACACATTGTATATTTACTTGTTTGTTTCCCCTTCTAGAATGTAAGTTACACAAGGACAGAGATTTTCATGTTTTGTTCCCTGCTGTATCCTACCTCTATATCTCTATATCTCTCTAACAGTCCTAGGCACATTGGGTACTCATTAAGCACATGTTGAATGAGTGGACTTCTTCTCTTGGCTAGGTGCGGTGGCTCACACCTGTAATCCCAGCACTTTGGGAGGCCGAGGCGAGTGGATCACTTGAGGTCAGAAGTTTGAAACAGCCTGGCCAACATGGCAAAACTCTGGCTCTACTGAAAATACAAAAATTAGCCGGGCATGGTGGCATGCACCTATAATCCCAGCTACTCGGGAGGCTGAGGCAGGAGAATCACTTGAATCCTGGAGGAGGAGGTTTCAGTAAGCCAACATTGCACCACTTCTCTCCAGCCTGAGCAACAGAGTGACTCTGTCTCAAAAAAAACAGTGTTTTCTCTCATAGACAAGTAACCTTAGTAGTAAAATGAGAAGAGAGCAGCACCCAAGTAGTTCTGCTGAGAGGTGAAGCCAGTTGGACTTCCTGGGTCGAGTGGGAACTTGGAGAACTTTTCTGTCTAGCTAGAGGATTGTAAACGCACCAATCAGCACTCTGTAAAAACACACCAATCAGCACTCTGTGTCTAACTAAAGGATTGTAAATGCGCCAATCAGCACTGTGTCTAGCTAAAAGATTGTAAATGCACCAATCAGCACTCTGTAAAAACGCACCAATTAGCACTCTGTGTCTAGCTAAAGGATTGTAAATGCACAAATCAGCACTCTGTAAAATGGACCAATCAGTACTCTGTAAAATGGACCAGTCAGCAGGATATGGGCAGGGACAAATAAGGGAATAATAGCTGCACCCCACACAGTAGTGGCAACCTGCTCAGGTCCCCTTCCACGCTGTGGAAACTTTGTTCTGTTGCTCTTCACAATAAATCTTGCTGCTGCTCACTCTTTGGGTCCGTGCCACGTTTAAGAGCTGTAATAGTCACCACAAAGCTCTGCAGCTTCATTCTTGAAGTCAGCGAGACCAAGATCCCACCAGAATGAACCAATTCCGGACACACTGCTAGGAGACTGCTTCCAGTCAAATGGAATGCTCTTCCTCTGATCAAGAAATGAATCCTACCATAAATTCAAACATATCTATACATACCTATACAGAGTCCCATCCTTTTAAATTGGAAGAACTTTGTGAAATTTTAGAGCTAGTTCTAAAGTGTGCAGAGAGAGAACCAGAGATGTACTAAGGTTGAAAGGTATTTGATTCCCACCCCTACTTCATCCTCTCTGCAGCCTCATAATATATGCCTTCTGTGTACGAGGGTGGACTTAATGACTTTATCTTTTTTAAATTAAAAAACGGATCTAATACTAGTTTACTTTCTCCAAGGATACAGTAGTTCTCTTGGTAATAAGATCTTAGATGTTCATGCTTTTGACAATCATGGTTAACTTGCAGTAGGAGAACACGGCGGCATGCCTGGTAACTGAACTACAAGTCCCAGAGTGCATCTCTACGAGGATTCTGGGAAGTGTGGCAGAAGCTGCAATGGTCCCTCTGGGGAACGGAAGCCGTTGAACGTGAACATTTGGTTTCCTCCTTTGTGCTGATTCCTGAGGAATAGGAAGGTGCCCCGAAAAGAATTCAGAGTGAGTACAGTGAAACAGAAACCTGCTCAGCTTCTAAGTGCAGGAAGGACTTCACAGGGAGGCATGATCAGAACTTGAAAAAAGGTCGCGGTCACAGCATTTTAACATTTTAGCTTAATCTCTTCCTTTTTGCAAAAACCACGGATATAACCATAGTTTTGCCTCATAAGTGTGGAGCTACCTCAGTAACCACAGCTAATCATTTTCTGATACTTTTTTGGAGAGTCATTTAAAAATGCAACTTGCTAACTTCTCACATTGTGCCTTAATTTTTATTTTTTTTTTAAAGGGAGGAAAAATATTCTTTAGAAAGCAAACTACAAACCCCATCTCTACTAAAAAATACAAAAAACTAGCCGGGCGAGGTGGCGGGCGCCTGTAATCCCAGCTACTTGGGAGGCTGAGGCAGGAGAATGGCGTGAACCCGGGAGGTGGAGCTTGCAGTGAGCTGAGATCCGGCCACAGCACTCCAGCCTGGGCGACAGAGCGAGACTCCGTCTCAAAAAAAAAAAAAAGAAAAAAAGAAAGCAAACTACAAAGCAGGTCAGTGAGACCTTCAAATTGTTTCCCCGTGGTTCCTCAGTTCTCCATATTTCCCCATCCCACGGAGGTCCACAGTCGTGGTGAAATGGACTCTAAAAAGAGCTCTTTTTTTTTGAGGCGGAGTCTCACTCTGTCGCCTAGACTGGAGTGCAGTGAGGCGATCTCCGCTCTCTGCAAGCTCCGCTTCCCGGGTTCACGCCATTCTCCTGCCTCAGCCTCCCGATTAACCGGGACTACAGGCGCCCGCCACCATGCCCCGGCTAATTTTTTTGTGTTTTTAACGGAGACGGGGTTTCATCGTGTTAGCCAGGATGGTTTCGATCCCCTGACTTCGTGATCCGCCCGCCTCGGCCTCTCAAAAGTGCTGGGATTACAGGCGTGAGCCACCAAGCCCGGCCTAAAACAGCTCTCTTAAATACTAGGGAACCTGGCCTCTTCTCGGTGGAAGTAACCACTAGATTCAAGATGAGCTTTTTTGTCACGCTCTAGTGCTTAATTAATCTTTCTTCTGGAAAGATGAACAGGATAAGAAACATGTGTGAATCATTTGTTATGGGGAGTTCAGAGAAACTATTAATGTTAAAGCACCTTGCCTCATCATTTAGTAGTTGGGTAAGACTGCTATTACCTTTCATCTCTATCAAACATTGTACTTTTAACAACATAAATAGCTCTGTGACCATCAGCTCATGAATCAGCAGGCCATGATAATCTACAACTGGCTAAGCTTAATTTAGTAGCAGAAACTAGGCAAAACATCTGGCAGCAGTTCCCAGGGTCCAAGAAACTCACCAAATAAATTCTCTTTGGCTCACGGAATATGGTGAGGTGTTTTGGGGTAACAGTGGCATGGAGGTAGCCCCATTAACCAGTTAGTCTCAGAACTAACTATTTTATATTTAGGCTTTTTCCTTTTGTCTTAAAAGGAGTAAGTACACATGGCTTTCTTTTTTTTTTTTTTTTTTTTCATACAGAAAAATGAATAAAGCAAAAATTACCGGCACCTTTTTCAATCTTTATCGTCATCCCATTCCCCCTAAATTAGTCACTCTTAACATTTGGTATGTATACTTCTAGTCATTTGAAAAATATTAAATAAGGCCAGGGGTGTGTGGCTCATTGCCTGTAATCCAGCACTTGGGAGGCCGAGCAGGCAGATCACCAGAGGTCAGGAGTTCGAGACCAGCCTGACCAACATGGAGAAACCCCGTCCTACTAAAAAAGCAAAATTAGCTGGTGCGTGGTCGGCGCCATGCCTGTAACCAGCCTACGTGGGAGGCTGGAGGCAGGAAGAATCGCTGAACCCTGGAGGGAGGTTGCGGTGAGTTGAATTGTGCCTTGCACTCCAAGCCTGGGCCACAAGACAAAACTCTCTCAGTAAAAAAAAAAAAAAAAAAAGAAGAAAAAACATAATTCAATACATATAATTCTGTACATTGGTATTCTTGTCCTTCTTATCAAAATTAGTAGCATGTTAACCTAAAACAGTTTCTTGGTTTTTTCAAA